ACAGATGCAAAAATCCCTAATATAATACCATATTCAAATCGATTAAGTAAAAACAAACCTATAAAATCAATATACAAAAAATTATATAGAGATGTGGAGGTACAGGTCATCAAATCTTGCAGGTCTTCAAATATTCAACCAAAAACAAACGTGCAAGTCGACCCTAGCCTCTATAGTTAGTAAACAATTTGTAGAGAAAAATAAAAGAAAGGTTGAGGTTATTTCAGTTTTGGTTGCATAAGGTGCTTAATCTTGTAGGTATTTAAATCAAGCAAGCTTCAAGTGACGTTTCTAGTGATGTTTTGGTGTTGTGATCAGTAGTCGGAGTCGTCCTAATTACTTTCAAGAGTCGTTATAATTTCTTCCCGTGGGTATTGGAGGTTCAAGGCTCATCAGATGATAGAGGAGGTAGAGGTACAAATGATAAAGAAGTAGAGGTACAAGCCATCAATTAAGGGTTTTCACTGGAGTAGAGAGGCAAGGGAACAGGAGAAAGATTGAAGGATCTTGTATGCTCAAGAATCATATTAAAATGATATTGGTAATTAACATATGATATTAATGGGTCACACTAACAACAACTTGATATAATTGATTATTTATTAGAAATTGATTTTAATAAATATTCAATAAACTCTTATAATTAAATTTGAATTTATTTATTTCTTGGAAGTAATAATTTTCATTAGCAAGTAATAACATATAATTCATAAGATATGAATTAATAAGTCATGTACAATATTTTTGGACTAGATAATTTCTTTTGTCTTTTACCAAAAAGTTAAAGTTTATATTTTATAAACTTGGTTTATAAAATTGAGACTTTTCTCTTCCTTTTTATGAGGTATGGCCGAAATATGCTTGAAGAGACAAGAACATGGTGTTTTGACTTATTTAATCAAAAGTAATATGAAGCATGGGGAACCATCTAGCTTGTAGGTGCATGGGTGTTTAATGGTTAATGACCCATGAGTATTGTGTATGTTATACACATGAGAGTGAGGCTTTCATTCATTTGTCTTAATCCTCTCTAGAACCGTAACATGCATATGTGCATGGGTTCTCTCTCTATTTGTTCATTCTTTTGAAGTTTACTTGCATCTTATGCTCTCTTTATGATTCTTATTTTGATAATAACATAAAGCTTAAGAGATTAAGAATTTTCTTACAAGACTAGCATCTTAAATTGTGACATCCCCATTTTCACGGCGAGAAAAAACCGATTGTTTATGATTATTTAAAAATCAGAGTATCCTTTTTGAAAAATACTATTGCGGAATTTGTTCCCAAAAAACATGATAAATATGTTATCAAAGCATTTTCCGAAGAAATGTATTTTATTTATATTAAAACATTGGGATGTCATTGTCAATACAAAACATAAGCATAACGAAATATTACAAGCCTTACAGTAATTAAACTAGTGGCCTAATACTCATTGAATCTCTCAGCAGAATGTATCTTTAACATCGCTACCTGTGATACAATAAACTGAGTGAGTCAGGTTGAGAAACCTGATGAGTACATAGGGTTTTCAACCCACAATAATATAATTATTATGTTTAATCATCAAACAATTAACCCGATTTACTAACCCCATTATCTTCTTTATTCTTAAGGATCTACCCTATGAATCATCTATTCTTTATTTATTTATTCCTAAGGATTGTCCTAAGGAATAGGCACGTAGTCCATCACTTCCAGGTTTTATCCAACAGGCACTAAGTCCATAGTTGTCGATGTTATCTATTAGGCACAACTGCCAATGTTATCTATTAGGCACAACTGTCATATTTATCTATTAGGCACAACTGCCAAAATTATCCATTAGGTGCAACTGCCAGGATTTTTAGAGTACATCTTGTGAACATGTAGTTCATAAACACCTACACGTTGCGAGCCTGCTAGCGTTCCATTGGACTGTCTAGAATCACCCGTGGTTGTCATCTATATTGTGCTAGATGACTGGATCAAATTTAAAGTCAAGGCCTCTCATCATCTTTCACCTCTCAACAGATATATCATCTTTCATCTCTCATCATCCATCTCATCTTTCATCTACCCATCTTTACCTAATATACTTATAGGTATAAAAATACATATACAGTTTAAATCAAGTAAAACATGTATAACTCGTTCATCTAGCATAGATATCATAAACACAGATAATAAGCACATATAACATGTATTAATATTAAATACTTCATATCTATGTGTAAGATGAAAGTAATTATGCACTCACTTGATAAAGTGATGACTCGAAATTCGGACATCGCTTCGCTTCTAGCAATTATATTTTCCTTTGACGTAACCTAGTGTCATTATCACTAAGTTTTAGTCTAATATTTATTGCGACCAATTATTATTCTAGATTCATCATTAACTCAAAGTCTACTTCACGATCTATGAAGTAAAGAACAACCAGGTGGGATCATATCGGAGGTAAGGTCCGTTTGGTATACAAAGTATATTGTTTGGAAAATCCCATTTTAAACACCTCACTAAATCACAACCTAAACATCATCCCCGTAAGTAGACCAATCAGTATAACGATTTGGAATCACTGATAAATCTTGTTTATAGGTTCATAATAACGATAATAAACTTAAATATAAGTTATACTTAAAGTACGGTAATCATAACTCACTTACAGGGGGTTTAGCGAGGAACCGGGCTCTACGCGGGCAGAACTTCTGAGCCAAAATCTCTTTTCCTCGGGGATTTACGGCGCTCCGGGCTTCACTACTAACACCTAGGAGGTGCTATAAAAAAGGTCTTAGGACCTTGGGGGGTTTGGGAGAGAATGAAGTTAAATGGTGTGAAGAATGGAGTGATTTTCAGCTTTATCTATAGGCTATACAGGGGCTCTTCAGGTCGTGACACATTACCTTCGCGTCGTGACCTTGCGTAGGCTCCAAGGCTTCGTCTGGTGCTGACATGTGTCGCATGACACACGTAAAACAACCAATTTTAAAAAATTCATAACTTTCGTATACGAGCTCCGCTTTTGACGCTATTTATATCCACATGTAGGTATTGACAAGATCTACAACTTTCGTTTAGACTCCGTAAACTAGTTTTGACTTTATTTTTAAAGTTATATTTTAACAGGCTTAGACAGTTAAAGTCCGTTAAAAATTCATAACTTTGTCATCCGATGTCCGTTTTCGACTGTCTTTATATCGTTGAGCTCCTATTAACGAGATCATCAATTCTCGTTTAGTTTGTGTCGGCTAATAATCGATCAATCTAAAATTCGATTTCCGGGCTTTGTACTGCCATGCTAAATTTTAGAAAAATCATAAATTCCTCAAACAAAATCAGATTTGGATGTTCTCTATATGCACACTCTCTGTTTAACATATACTACGACTTTCATTTAGATCGCTAAGGCTAAAAAGTATTTTGTCAAAAATTCACTTTTTACGATACACGGTATCGTGTCGGTTTAGTCGCAAAACTTCGACGGGTCATAGCTTCTTCGTTATAAGTCGGATTTCAACGTTCCTTATATGTACGAAATCCTTGTGACATATACTATAACTTTGGTTATTTATGCTAAATAATCTTTTATCCAAAAGTCATTTTTAATGCTTATTATCTCTAAATTGACTAGCCCGAATCTACGGGCGTTACATACATCAAGTTGACAACTTGTTGGTGTCTCTAAAGTTCATCATTATTCATCAACTTCCAAGCCTCCCAAGAAGATCCAAAGAACAACAAAGGTTGTAATTTCTCCATCTTCTTCTTTGGTTGGTGTTTAATCTTTCTACACTTTGCAAGATGATCATTGGTAGGTTATAAACTTGTTTTACGTTATTCAAATTATCAAGTATTCCGTTGCCCAAATATCATGTTTTTAAACTACTTTTTGAATAAAAACCCAACAAAGATATCAAGTTTTTTGGGGATATTCTTTGTTTTTTTTCTAGATTTAAACCCTAGGTAATTGATTTATCTTGCAATCTTTTTCAAAGATGGAGAAGATGATCGGACCAGAAGGAGGCAACGGAGAAAGTGAAGGGTTATGCGGGTTTCCGACAAAGGGAGCAGAGTTTCTGATGATGTGTGTTTTAGGGCAAGACAGGGATCATGTTACGTAGGTTTGTAGCAAAGGACATGGAGAGAGAGAGAGAGAGAGAGAGAGAGAGAGAGAGAGAGAGAGAGAGAGAGAGAGAGAGAGAGAGGAAGGAGTGTGTGTAGTTGGTGGCAGATGAATTCGTTTATAAGTTTGGAGTTAAAAGAAGATGATAGTAAATGTGAAGGTGAAGGGCGGGAGTGGGCCCACTGTTTTTACTTTTTAATAAACATTTTTTTGGGTAGGAAAATAACAAATAAAGAGTAAAGAAATTAAAAAAGAAATAAAAAAGGTAATTTAGTCTTTTTATGTATGTGAGGGACCAACACACAACAAAAATACATCAGAGGGACCGTCCGAGTTAAAAAAATATTTAGGGACCAAGCGCGCAGATTACCTCAAACCACATTGACCGTTCATGTAATTTACTCTTAATATCGTATATAGATCACATTACTATATGTGTTCAATTTTTTTGATAGATTTAAGTAAAAAATGATTTTTTTTTTCTTTGGAAATTTCGGACTTGTTCTTAAATATCTAGTTTTTTTTTGTCGAAATATTAAATTTCAATCCGGAATCCGAAATATCTATCTGAAATGTATTTTTTTGTCAGAAAAATAATTTTGTTGGTCTGAAATACTTATTTCGAACCAAATAGTTATTTTTTTATAAAAACAAATTTTATAAATACCCGTTTGAAATGTGATTAAATTACTTAATTTCCCTTGAATTAATAATTAGGAGTTATTAGTTATCACTTATGAGTTTTGGAAGCAACATCAATAAGATGGCCATGGCCCATTACAATTACTTGATACATAATAGCAATGTATCGGGCCTTAATGGACTTCAAGAATCTGGGCTCATATGTGGTAAACCGGGGCACCATGCCGGTATGCCACTCTAAACGGAATTAATGATCAGAAGGCAAACGAACGACAAAATCCCCAATTTTCATCAACGTTCAAGCTTATGGAGCAAATGCACGACTTTCAGAAAACTCAGACAAATCCACGCGTACATGGTCGTCAATGGCTTCAACACGAGTAAATTTAACGTCAGAGAACTTATATACGTCTCTGCTTTGGTTATACCTTCCGGCATTAGTTATGCACACCAAGTGTTCGATCATATCACCCAACCGGACCGCTTCATGTGGAACACCATGCTTAGAGGCTCAGCTCAAAGCCCCAACCCCGCGAACACCGTTTCTCTGTTCACCCAGATGGAAAGACGCGGCATTCAGCCTGATCGTTACACGTTTCCGTTTGTCCTCAAGGCCTGCACAAAGCTTTCTTGGTCTATTCTGGGATGTGCTGTTCATGGAAAGATTACGAAACATGGATTTGACGAGAATACATTTGCGAAGAACACACTCATCTATTTTCATGCTAATGTCGGAGAAATAGAGATCGCTAGTGCCTTATTTGATTCTTCTGCTACCAAACAAGTTGTTGCATGGTCAGCTTTGACTGCCGGTTACGCAAGGAGAGGAAACTTGGGTATGGCAAGGAAGGTGTTCGACGAAATGCCTGAGAAAGATTTGATTTCTTGGAACGTTATGATTACAGCGTATGCAAAGATGAGACAGATGGAAAGCGCCAAGGCGTTATTCACTCTGGTACCAAATCCAGATATCGTGACATGGAATGCCATGATAGCAGGCTACGTAACCTCTGGTATGCACACACATGCACTCCAGATGTTCGATGAAATGACACGTGTAGGAGAACAACCCGATGAGGTAACAATGTTGACCCTTGTCACAGCATGCACAAACTCAGGCGACTTAGACATTGGTGAGAAGATCCATCGTTCTGTTTTATCCTTAGGTGGAGGGAAATTAAGCATTTTACTTGGAAACGCTCTTATAGACATGTATGCTAAATGTGGTGAAATTGATAAAGCATTCAAGATTTTCAACAACATGAAGGAAAAAGTTGTAACAACATGGAACTCCATAATCGGAGGCTTAGCTTTCCATGGTGACTCAGAGGAAGCCATTAATGTATTCAAAAGGATGCGTAAAATCAAGATAACCCCAAATGAGATCACCTTTGTTGGGGTGTTAGTTGCTTGTAGCCATGCGGGTAGGGTTCAAGAAGGTCAAGAATATTTCAATCTTATGAAAAAGGAATACAAAATTAAGCCAAACATAAGGCATTATGGATGCATGGTTGATCTTTTTGGACGTGCAGGGTTGTTAAATGAAGCTTTTGAGTTTATAAATCAAATGGAGATTGAGCCGAATGATATTATTTGGAGGACTTTGCTTGGGGCTTGTAGAGTTCATAATCATGTTGAATTGGGTAAGATTGCAAATGAGAAGTTATTGAAATTGAGAAAAGGTGAAAGTGGTGATTATGTGTTGTTATCGAATATATATGCTTCACAAGGTGAGTGGGGTGGAGCTGAGAAGTTGAGAAAGGTGATGGATGATAAAGGAGTGAGGAAAGAGGCTGCAAGTAGTTTAGTTGATGCGGATGAAAGGATGCTCATGCGTTTCTTATTTGACTCAAAACCTCAAATGGAAGTCGATAAGTTTAAGACAAAAGTTCATATGAAATCTTTTGATGTGAAGTAGTTTTGTTCCATGATATACAATTTTGGTTCTTTGCTTAATACAATGTGTATTGTTATGCCCTAATTCATGGAGATGTTTACTTATTGTGAAGGAAATGCTATCATATATCCTAAGAAAGTTTTTATGTTAGGTTGTATGTAACATCCCTTGTATGGCCATTTTGAAATAGTTTTTACGGATTTTTGTAAATATTAAAACAACTTAAAGTAATAACGAAACTCCCAATTTTCGTAACACTTTTAGAACTAAAACGGTGTTTAAAGTTAAAACATGAGGGATGCAAATCGAACACTATAATAAAGACTAAGCTATTTCTAGCCTAACACAGCATCGCCATCATCAAGACTCACTAATCTTTGCTTCTCTTGCAAATACTACATGATTTCGCTATTTGAGTTGCATGTCAAAATAGAGCACAATCCCCCACTTGAGTCGCATGTCAAAAGAGAATGATTTTGTAGGTTAATAAATTGTCACTTTTATATACATATAGTCATTTTTTTGTACACGATTTAGCATTAAACTCACCGTGAGTTATTCAAAATCTACTATTTTGACTGAGTATTGCATGATAATGTTTCCTTTGTGTATACGATTTACCATTAAACTATGTCGTGGTCATCTTCTCTGGCCATCGTCCACCTACAACTCCACCGTCGCCATCCACCTTCGGCAACAAACACCGCCTTCCATCATCACCACTCACCAACAACAACCGCCCATCTCCACTATTCACCACCACTACCATCAAACAACTTATCTACATTTACATATCTAGGTGTAGTCAAGTACTGCATGTTTATTTTATATACTTTGATTTGGGTTTTTGGAACTTAACTTATCGAACAATGGTTTCTGGTTTCTATTTACCATGAATGAATTTTAAAAATCAAATATCTGGCTTTAAAAATAGGACGTTACACAATATGTACTATACGGAGACGCTCTTGCTTTGGGGTCAACATGACCTACATTTATGTATGTAGGTGTAGTCAAAGAACAATCCATCCACTTTAGCGGTTACCCGTGACATAGCAGTGAATCCCACAACCCTAGGTATGATGGCCCAATATACGAAGGCGATGGATTCAAAGAACAACATTCATCTTTCGTTTAGGCCGTCTATTACTTCTCTAACATTACCCGCAGACCTTTTGGTATTGATATGTAAGCTTTGGTATTTGTCTTCATGATAAATTAAAAAAATAAATTGTTAAAATGACATAACACTCATAAAAATATATTTTCATAGATGGGTCTCACATTTTCGCATAGAACAATTGTTGGATTGTTGGATTGTCATACTTTCTTAGACATAGCTAACATTTTTGCAGATATCATCTGCAAAAAAGTTAGTTATATGGAAAAAAATATTGTTTTACATACATGTCTGATTTTCACAGATTTCATCTGCGAAAATATAAAAAATCTATTTGAAAAAATGTTGTTTTATCATATAATCCGACAAACAAATCTATATAGAAGGTTATTATTTTATAGATAAAGCAACATAAACAAACTTTAAAATGATGACAAAAATTACGGTAGATTGTTGTTGTCTTCCATTTTTTCTGAATGAATTTATTAAAATATGTGAAATTAGAATGTAGAAAATGATAAAATGGGAAAAAAATACCTTATAGGGGGACTACCGTCAGCCCATTTTGCAGATATCTTGGCTTATTTCTCGGTCCATCGACACCATTTATAAGCAAAATGGTAATTAATAATACGATGTCGTTTTACCTTTTCGTAGATGGCATGCGTTTTTCGCATATGTCTGCAAAAACGGTGTTTATTTTGGCGACGTGGCCATTTTTTTTCTTTGAAGTGCTTAATGTGATTAGTCATATTTGTCGTTTTTTTTTTAAACTTTAATAAAAATTATTTGATTGGCTTTTCAAACCATTATATTTGTCAGAATTTCCAAAAAGAAAAGAAAAAACAATTCATCACAGTTTATTGAAAATCGTTCATACTTGTAGGTTATATTATGCATATTATTCTTTAAATGATATATAAAGAAAGTAAAATGATTCACAACACCAATTTGGAAAGAAAAAAAAATAATAATGATAAATTAATATAGTCTTTGGCTATTGGAAAAGTTAGAGGGACACACGCACACCAGTGGCAGTGACACCACAACCCTCACATGAAACTTCTCTCCGGCTTCCAAGAGTTGACTTTATTGGTTTAAATGTTTCCAATATATACCCATTTCATATCTAGAAACTTGAGTTGACTTTCTCTTTGATCTAATAAAATTGAAGAACAAGAACAACAACAAGAAGATGATGAATGACAAGATGAAAGCTTTGATGATTGGAGTTGTAGGTGCAGGAATCACACTTTCTGCTTATTCACAAACATACATGACTCCAACTCAGTGTATCGGCACCGGTCTTGTTATACTAATTGTAGGACTTTTTGTCGGAGAAGGTATCCTTCCAGTCTAATTTACCCTTTTTGTCATTCATCAGAAAGACTGGTTTTAATCCTCCACGGATATCTGTGTGTATCTGTGGAGGATCCAAGAAAAAAAGGACATGTGTCCCGATATCCGGATCTAGATCCGTTGTAGTTTTTTTTTTTTTTTTTTGTATTTTCTTCAAGTTGTAACCTTATTCTTCATGGTGAATCAAGATCCTAAAAGTATGTCATGGAATCAAATTATTATGTTTCTTTTTCTAGTTGTAAGATAACCGATGATAAATTTTAATTGTGTTTGGTCATAGGGTAATTTTCATCTTGGCTATAAACTTTAGTATAATAAAAATACAACCAATTCGAATTGTTCATTTGTTCCAGTACCCGAATTCTTTGTTTCTTATTGTTATTGATAATAGAGTTTGTTTTGAGTTTTAAGATTCATACGAATTTTTAGTTTTAGAATTGATGAATGACACAATTTTCCAAGATGGGAATGAGATTATATAATATATAATCACAAAAGAAGAGATGTGAATCGGAAACTTGATGTTCAAAGTTATAGAGTTTGACATTTATAATTAAAGAAAAAGATGTATAATCAATGCCTTTTATAAACTCAATTAAGTAAATATTTTTATAGGGTAACAGAAACATAAATATTTAAACTCAAATAAGTAATATTTTTCCCCTTGGTTTTTTGGTAATTGACACTACACCTAGCTTATTTTTGATAACTGCATTCTGCATTCAAAATCCTATCCAATAATCGATCCTCATTTCCACAACCTCTTTTTCGTGTCAAGTACATTCATTTAAATATGAACAACGTTGTTGACCTAACTTCCATCATATAGAAGTGGTAAACTTTTATATTTCTCTTGACATGATTCTATTTGACGTCCGTTTAAAAACCTTTGATTTTAGTACATTCAACACAGAAACCTTAAACCTTAAGTAATAAACCATACAAGCTTAAAAACATATCACCACATAACAGGGCAATACCAAACATACTTTAGGTGGGGGACTAAAAAAAGGTCTTCAATGACATAATTTTTCTTGTAGTAAAATAATTGATCAGAATTTGCATCCATCATTTGTGAACTACTAAATGCACATGTCATGTTTTATAATTTACATTGATCATGCCCTTATGATTTACTAAAAAAACCCATTGACCCTCCTTCGCTCCTCTTCTTTACCTCCTCCTAATAAAACCAAGTCATCGATCCAAGTGAACCCGATCAATAAAACAATGCTTATTTAGGTACAACACAAAAACCCAAGGGGACTATTGAATGAGATGAAGGAACACAATACAAGAATCGGACCAGAATCCAGTGTGTTGAACATTTCCCATTTCAATGCTACAAAAGTCTTGAAGATCCAACCCATGAGAATACAAATCTTTTACAACATGGACAATGGAAACCAACATACCATTCGGACCATTGCTAGGCCCAATTTGACCCAATCGACCCTCTTATTCATGAATAGCCTCAATAACGTTCACTCATAGAGCATCTTAATAATAAAAAGTCGATGTCTCCATTTAAAAAGAAGGGTCATGTTAAACGAAAACGGGAGACCTCCCTCCTACTTTTCATGACTTTCTTCCAACTAACCCAATGAGGTTTTCTCTCCCCAACATAAGAAAAAAAAACGGGTTTACATAGACTAGAGTTTTCAAGATCATGTACGGAATCTTGAAGAGAGACATTTAATAAATACTCAAGTTTCCCTATACCGACTTCAAGATGGTTAATCTCGCACCAATATACAAAGTCCTCACCTTCCATGTCGAAAGGTTGGACAAAAATGTATCAATCACCGACCTCCAAGAATTGACTCAGTTTATGTTTTCTCCTACAAATTTATCAACCATGGATTTCCAAGAATTGGCTAGGTTTATGTTTTCTCCCACAAACATATGTTTTCCTATGTAATGTAAGTTTGCATCTATAAAATCATTCTTGCACCTAGTACTTAGGTTTGCGATAGTAAGAAAGTCTCTCAGTTTTCCCACATAATTGTCTCTTTATCCTTGCCCTCGACAATGTAATATCCATATTATAACTCAATAACACCGTTCTTTAAAAACTTACTCATTTTGTCTTTTTCTCCCAGAAAGAACATGCAATACTTCGAGGGAGAGTAGCAGTCTTATCCTTCCCCTCATTGGCAACAATTTGATTGAACCCATATCCTTGTTACCAAAGGTAGAATTATAATCAATCCCTTTTCTTGGTTCATTCATAATAGAACATTTTTCAAACCTTGCATGAGCCGCAAAGAATTTATGGTGCCCAATCTATATACAACATAAATCTCTAATAAGGGTCCGGATGTTTCCATTCTAATAAACCACACAAATCCAAAACTCTTCATTAACTTGGATCATTTCTTGGAAATAAAAACATCGATAACAATCCCATATTTATAACAAGCATTCCACAATTCTTTAATCCCCATATTGTGAGGGAAGTTCATAATGTAAATAGTTTAGAACATCTTATGTACCTCGATAGTACCATCATCAATGCACAAACTCAACTTCATGGGACTTA